ACATTTATTATATTGTGAACTAAAAGTTAGATTCATTAAAATAAAAAATAAAAAATCTACCCAAATTTATTTAACCATCAATTAGTCAATTAAATTAATCATGCTATTTGCATGATTCACTATAATAATCTATCACACCACAGCTTTAGTTCCTTCTAATTTTTCTTAACGCAACATGCTTGTACCAAGTTTTTCAGTGATTTACTGAAGATAATTAGGATTTAAGACGTCCAGGTAATAGAGTAGCATAATTAATTGGAAATAGGCAGAACTATACATTAACATTCGGTGTCATAACTCTGACAATGCAATGACTAAAGAAACGATGGATAATGACAAATATATATGAGAAAGCTGTATTGATTTTATAGATATTCCTCAACGGCCATATGATCCGATAGTACAAAATCAATGAGGAAATAGTACAAGCTTTCAGGAAATACGAAAAGAAATGTCAGAGTTTGCAGAAAGGAAATAAGGAAAGATTCCTCCAGGGAGAGAGAGAGAGTCTTCAATAAAATATTCCACACCAATCCTTACACTCCCTCGTCCTATTATAGTCATGCGTCATTCTCCAATTCGCGAAGCTTCCAGCTTTTCTTCTTAATCCTCAAGCTTCTCCGGACTGGTTCATTTTGGGCCAGCTTCTCTTGCAACTTTGGGCCTGGGTTCGTTACAAACAAGTTGATAATAAGTACCCATTTCCTGAGATTGGCCATAAACATGATTTCCCAAAAAAAAAAAAAACTTTCTTTTGGTTGACCTAAAAGAAAAAGGTGGCTATTAACATTGTTATCAACAGGGAGCAGATCTTCTCAGAAGCTATTTTCTCCTCATCCGTCAGAATCTTAACATCCTAGCCATCCAATCCATCGGAGCAGTCACAGGTAGACACGTCAAAAAGTATTGGAAGCCAAAACTCGAATAGGAACCGTCGGATCCTGGCTGCCTATATTTTATGCCTTTAAAACAATAAAACTTCGATGTTCTGCTAGCTGAACTTGGTGAGAAAGCTTCACGCAAGGCAATCTGGTTCATCTTCATATCATATGAAAATGCATTATGATGACCCAAACTGATCTTTACAAGTGATTGAGCCATCTCTTGCTACCATGATAGAAACTCAAGACCATAAGAAATATCAAGACGACAAAGCCAACAAGGGATATAAACATCAGTCGATGCTTTTCCAAGGGAGAATGGGAGATTGAAAAAAAGAAAATAAAAGCTTCATTATAGTTTTAGTATTCCTAAGTTGTTAATAGCAGTAAAGAAGTTCCCTTTCTTGTTTGTTTAATAGCTCATAACAAGAGATCTGCTTCTCGACTATGTAAGCGAGAGGGAATGCAACATTTTATTGTCAAGCTAGCATATGTATGTATATAATGCGTTACAATTCCAGCATAAATTGTTGACACATTAAAATTTGACTGGTGCAGCAAGAAAGCATCGGTAGCTAAAGAAACAAGAAAGAATAAACAATGAAGAAAACAGGGGAACAGTGGCGAAGAATAAGAATGCCTCTGTGTTGATTGAACTGAATCCGTAAAGGCTTATTGATATAGATTACAATTAAGCAAAGAGAAAATTCAAGTCAGAGAACCAATTTTGAGAACGGATGAAAGTTAGTAGTCGACGAAGGAGCACTAAGAATGGGAAAAAAATCAATTGAGCGAAGTAACCATCTAGCGGTCAAATAATAAGGAAGAGAATGATAGAGTAGAAGGGTAAAGATAAGGAAGAGGTGTAATTTGTAATGTAGATGCCAGACCATGGGTGACGACGAAGCTCCTTATTTGCATCACAGATGGGTTGAAACTCGGATGGCAGAGTGCATTCGCCAAGGTGATAGGGATTTGGCAGGACATGAAATTGAATGGATGGTCAGCATATAACCTGATGGACGGTTTAGATACAATTTTAAAAGCCTTGTGACGTGTCTCCTTATGGGTGTTTGGATGGATTGGACGGGTAGGATTCAAGGCTTCTGAGAGACGTGGAGAAGCCAACCGCTGAGAGAATCCGAGCCCGTATATATTAAGCGTGGTAGTTTATTATCTTAAATTTAAGTTGGCTGTCGTTTTGTTGATTATAACAAGTAAATTGATATAGGCCCAATAAATTTCTCTATAGTCTTTTTCAGAACCTCATCGGATGCCCACTAGTTTTGGCGAAGTGCTGATCGGAGGGTAGAATTTTACATGCAATAGTGTTTTCTGACTGAGGTAAGACCGACTAACACTCTCCTACCTTAATTTCTTTCGTTTTATGCGTCTTGAAGGAAATGATGATAGATTAAATATCTGGGTTATCAAAGAAAGCTATCAATCGAATGAAATATTGGAGGGCGGATGTAGTTAGAAGCTCAAACAAGTGAATGGTAGTGTTGCATATGCTGTTGGGTTATGTTATTGATGATTCCAAAGCTTAATCTTCCAGCCCCTGTTCTGCTTTATGGCGCCTAACTCTATGGAATTTAAATGGGTGAAGTTTGCCGAATTGAAGGAGGTAGATTGAAGTCCAAATAGATTATACAGGGGTTTGCATGCCACTTTCTCCTTCAATTTTGTGTAACTCGTGACTGATCTGCGAAGATAATTTTATTGCTCTTCTCTGGTTCTTAGCGTCCGAAACAGGGGTAATGGTTCAAAGAGATGATGTGGGTTTAATGAGAAAATGAAGAGCATGAATGGGGGTGTGTGTGTGTATTTATATACATATATATATGAACGAAGCTTGGGCGTGTGAGGATGGGGAATAAAATTGAAACACACACACATATTTGGATAGTTGATTGTGACACAAAATACTGAAGTTAGAATTAGAAACTGATTGTAATTAATTTGTTGGATTTTACCCGGATGTTAAAAGAATATTTTATGACTCAGGAATTGGAAGAGGATGGTTAAACTGAAGTTGTGAAGCTTGAAGTTTGCTGTTTCCTTGGGTTATGGCGTTAGGTTCCATGAAAGATAGCGAAAGAAAACTTAAACATTAAAAATAATTGAGGAACAAATATGGATAAAAACGTGTGTGTGAGAGAGAGAGAGAGAGAGATAATGTGACGTGAGGAACTTAGATTTTAGTGGTTGTAAGACTATTCAAATGTCTTGCTTAATACTTGCCCATGTCAAATATTTCCCCAACTATCTAAGCCATGTTTGAATACAATAATGGCTGGTTTGAAACCTAAGAGGGAAGCTAGAAAATTTACAGATTTAATGAAGATTGATGTTAAGCAATGAGGCAAGAGTTTGCCCCAATCTTGAAGTTTGGACGAGGTGAATAGAGAGAGAACTGATTGAATTGTTAAAGATTAATCCCTAGAAGTTGCTGATTATTAATAATAGTATTAGCATATAGTTCATATGAATTAGATATCATTGTAGGTAAAGCTGTTGATGGTAAGATTATAAAATTTGACGCTATTGAATAATGGTATTATGCTGTCAAAATCTGAAAGAAAATTTTGTGAAAGGAATATACATATCTATGGTTTTTATGAGTGTGATGATGGTGGATGTTTGGATCATTGGAATGTTAATCCTGAAACTATAAATGCTTTATTGTTTGAGGTCTGCACATAGACTAAATAGTGATTTTGTTATATAAATTATAGTTGAAAATTTTAGAGTGAAGATTGATTACATTAAATTTTAAAGGACAGGCTTGAAGTGATGTTTTGAAGTTAGGAATAATTTCCACATTATGAAAGGTAGAGGAGTTGATTTAAAATTTATTGTTGAGATTGCTTGAGGTTACTGACCGATAAATAGAAATTTTAAATGATTAGAGGATATGCTGGCATAGATTAAAGTCTGTATAAGAGGATTATGAGGCTATGGGAGAATATATGCATGTGGGAGGTTGAGTGTTAAGGGAATTGAAAGTCTGGAAGTTTTAATATGGAAGTAAATTTGAAAGCTATTTAGAAAGTTACAAGAAGGATAGTTTGAATTAATGTCGAAGATTAAAAGTGCGTTTGAGGATTTGGAATTGATAGATAGATTAATAGTGATGGAGTTGGAAAAAGATGAACTTCAAATTAAATATAATTTGGGTCTTGTCCGATTTTGAGTGCTAAGCTTGTATATATGGAGTTACATAATGGATTAGAAGGTTGTATTAATAACCGTTGTTAATGGTCATACTATTTATTTGCAAAAATACTACCACTTTCTTTCCACGGTGTTTTTTTAACTGTCGTGTTTCCTTGACGTTATATGTCTTTTTTGTAGTATTGTCAATTTGGAAAATTAATCCAAATTTAATTGAAAGGTTGTATGGAGTTAAAGAGACTAATAATAATCAAGTAGTTATGAAATATGAATGAGTATTTTTCCAAACTACAATAAGTTACGAGTTAATATAATATATAAAAATAATATTTTTGACTAAGATGATCAGTTACTAAGAAAAGTAACTATATGGGTTAAGATAAAGGAGATAACTCTCTAAAGAGAATAGTTCGAATAAGAAAAATTATACTAACTATTAAGTAAGGATAGAAATTAAAGAAAATTGGCATTTAAGAAAGTTATTTAGTTGTGAATTATATTGGATCAAGTATTAACCTACCCTTACTAACATAATAGGTTTTGATATTTGTGAAAGCCCACTGAGGAAGCTAAAATAAAGGAAGAAAGTAAGGTTTAATTTCGAAGTGGACGGCTTAGGTAGCAGTTCTTTCTTATCTTACACTTGTGTATGATTGCTGCATATCCATTTGTGCCTATTACTTAGTTAAAGTGTAAGAACATGTAATCCTTAATTCTTTACATGGATTATTTGGCGGTGATCACATGTAGTTGATTGACATAGGGCACTATCTGCCAATTATTTGCATATTATTTCTTCAGCTTGTCTATCTGTCATTGAGCATAAATGCTTAACTGCATTAGCCTGCAAGGTTATGTTCCATTTTGGCTTGCTTTGCATGCTTTTTGTAATCTGTATTTGTGTTTGCTGAAAATTACTACTACAGAAGAATCTCACCCTGCCTTCCATGATACACAGTGAAGGCAAGTAACTCTAAAGGAAAGAAGATTGCAAGAGAAGAAGGTAGGCAATTATAAAGAGTAGAAATGCCTGCTCGTTATTTTGTACTTATATAGTAGCTTATTTTATTAGCGAAGTTAATTATACCATATATATATCATCACAATAGTAACCAATACTTACTTTGTGTAGATATTCTCTTGTACCCTCTATTAGGAGGTCCGCGTAAACTGAGTACAAGTGTTATCGACCGAGATGGCTTTGGTATAGCTATATATTTATGTTCATTACTAACTTTTGATCCCTATTTCTACTTATGGATAGTGACCTGTTAGTTAATTAAGACTTCATGTCTCTTATTAAGCTGCATAAGAATATGTTTGATTATAGGTCATTGGTCAAGTTTTCAAAAGTTTTGAATTTCTTTAATAACAAAGTCCAATGTCATTTGTAGGTTCAATCTTGCATTGGAATTCTATTTTCAAATGGTTCATGTTTTAGATAAAAAAAAAAATTTACCCCATTTTTCTTAGGATAGAAACCTGGCTTAGTGATTTATAGACATTAGCATGTCCTTATTAGTATATAAAAATTAGGTGTTGCAAACTGCGTTTCACTATTCTTGCTTTTCTTTTAATTCAATATCTATACTTCCATTTTTTGTGCAATTAACTAATGAGAACTTTAACACGTATTGATCATACAGATCTCTCTCGTAGTCATTATATTACATAGATCCCCAAAATGTCAACATTGCCAGGTGACTTCAAACACAGCGCAACACCAATCGACTTTTTTTTTTTTTTTGACCAGGGAACACCAATCGACTTGGATCCTTGTGCGGTCGCAATGTCCTTCACTTGAGTCACCAAGGCCGAATGAGGAATAAGGTGAATGAGTACAAAAGCTCTTCTTTTTCTCTGTGTCATTTGGACCAAGAGCTGTAAAAAAATTTTTAAAAAAAATTATCGTAGCAATGTGTTAACATAGGTTCGGTCACACACAGAAAAAGCACTCAATATTTTCTGTAAGTAAATTTTTGAGTTCAATTTAATGTTGTAAATGGAAAAATCAAAATTGTTCAGGAAATCACATTAGTGATTGAATTTTGTCAAAAAGTCTCAAAAATAGGCATATTTACTTAATTAAATTTAAGTAATTTACATAATCAAAATAAAACTTTTGAGATTCTTCAAATGGAGATTTGCTTCTTGATTAAAATTTCATGCGTAGGATTTCTTTCTTTCTTTACTAGTAGCTTAGTGCATCACAATGAAGTTTTCGCTTTGGCTAGTTGCTTTTCATTATTTTAACCAATACATTATAAACATGTAAATCTCCTCATCCTCAAGATGCATTTAAGAAGAATTGAGCATAACTTTTTTGAGAAGGTTATATCACTCAAAAATCCTATCTTAGGTGCACGGGCACCAACAAACAAACACCCTATACTAATCTCTCAAATACATACATACATATACATACTTATATCTGCGCCTGTAGTTATGTATGCATGCATGAGCCTGTAATACCTTGGCCATGCCATTTTGGTTGATAAACTTAATTTGCTTCGACAATTTAATTCTTCTTCTTTTTTTGGTGAAAAAAAGTTTAAGCAAGGGATTGGGCTTATCTACAAGCTAAGGGCAGGGAAACTAGCCAGTCACACACAACCTAATTGCCTGTCGGTCCCATGCTACTTATTTGGGCTATCAGTTTGCCAAGATTATTGGCTGGGGTGGAGCATTAACCATAGGGGAATTAGCTCCAAATTACATGCTTTACCTGGTTGTCAATATGCCTCCCCAAGAGCTACAACAATCTCAAGAATCCAACTCCCTTCCTTTGATGAGAGTGTTCGACCCTTTGACTGTAAACTCATGGTATGATGTGTATTCTTTTTTATTTTAGCAACCCATATAACGACTAAAAAAAGTTCTTTTGTGCTTAATGAGACAAAACTCATATGATATATTTACTTTGTATTGTACAAAATTATTTAAAATAAGTTAATAATCACATCTGTATGCACTCATCTTGATGCTTGCATGATTACATGGTGTGGATAACAAGAGAAGAAAGAGATACATGGAAGGATGACTTGTGCCACGCCAATTGTGTTAACAAGTGCACTAATGAGAAAGCAATTGTGGATCCAAACCTTAATGCCTTGACTGCAGAAATTGATGATAAAGGCTGAATAACACTTCATGTGGCAGCAATGTTTGGGCATGTCACCATAGTGGAGGAGCTGCTCAAATTACTGCCTCCAGAATTCCTTCTAACTCCTGATTTGTTTGGCGATACAGCACTTGTATTTGCTAGTCGGTTTACTGGAATCACTGAAGTTGCAAAATGCCTCATAAACAAGAATAGCCACATAGTTTGCATTCCAAAAAAGTATGGTAATCTCCCTGTTACATTGGCTTTTGCAGATGGTTACCAAGGGATGGGGCGTTATCTTTATTCTGTCACTCTATTAGGATGCCTCACAAACCATTAGGGTTCTTGGCTTCTTCATTGTTGTTTCCATGCACAACGTTTCGATATTGTTATCTAGTATTATACTACCTCCATTCTAAATATAAGATATAGTTTGTAGTGTATGTTATTTCTTATCATTTGTCTCCATGTTTTTTATGCTCTTGTCAATTCATCATGGCATGACTATATAAATATGTGTAGATATTACTTTGAATTTGCTTCAACAATGTGAAGAATTGCTTTTTGTGCCTGTTGATGATGAAGACAACCTTGAACACCACTATTGTTCACCCAAGTGAACTTATTTTCTGGAAACGGTGGATTTATAACTGTCAGTATCTGTGTGCTTAGCTAGCTATATAAATTTATTGAGCTAGATATCTTACAAAAATATTATTAGGAGAATATATAGGAACAATATATAAATTTGTAGGCATTAAAACGTGTAACTTTTACATTGCCTTTTAAAGTAATATTAATTAACAGGGATAAAAGATTTGGCCTTAATTTATAGGGTTGGCTTACTACTAAGGCTCATCACCTCCACCGATAGTTTTGTTGGTATGGATGCTAACTTCCGCATATCTCTTCAAAGAATTGGTTGCTTGTTCAAGCTTACTCTTAATTCTCATAAGTTAAATTAAACTAAAGAAAAGATCCATGTGTGATCAATGTCGGAGTTAAGAAAGTACAAGAGCTAAAGCTGCTGCATGCAAAAGCTGCTGCATGCACAAGCAGATGACCTTCTTCACTTGGTCTGTAAGAATGCGAGGAAAGCAAGCCAAAAAGTTTATAGATGAGGCTTTATGTCTTGCAGCTAGGAGGGAATGTTGATTTTGTGCTTCAAGTATCAAATGATGGTTTTGTGTTTCAATAAAGCTCTTGATTATCAGCAAGCTAATGTTTTCCTCCGTAAAATGATGGCCTTGGCTTCAAGCATGGCCTGGTAACAATGAGACCCGATAATGATCCTAGACATACCTTGATGCATAAGGTGGCTATAAAGGCTCCTGATCACATTCTTAATCGCATCTATGCACCTTACTGCAAATGCAGAGAGAATTGCAATGGTTTAAGGTTAGAGAAAGATGTTTATTAATCTTTGAGCCATATTCTCTTTATAACATTGAATCTATTATAATCAAGTGCATAAAGTAATCAACTAAATACAGTTTGTCTGAAAGCATATATGAGAATGTTCCCCTAAGAGTTTCGCTTTCTTTAGAGGCACGTTGGGTGTTATAGAATCATTCAAAGACATCACAAAGTAAATCTCATGAGGCCAGGCTTTGAATCAAAGTTCCAATTTCTTTGCTGATCATTTTCTCCCAAACTAGGTGCAATATTAATCTGGTTTTGATAAGAACGTGAAAGGAAATACTTCATTATTTTTCTCCCAAGCTGGATATAGTAGTAGTCTGGTTTTGATAAGAAGGTGAAATGCAATAATACCTTTTGAAACAAATGTAGGAGGTGGAGAGTTTAACGCCTCCAAGCTTTAGGGTATTTCAAAACAAGGATGGCATGACAGCTGGAGAATTATTTAGAGAAACTCACAAAGAGTTAATGAAGGAAGGAAAGAAATGGATAAAAGATACAGTATCCTCATGCTCAGTTGTCAGCGCCATAATTGTCACAATTATGTTTGCAGGAGCTTTTACTATTCCTGGAGGAAATGATGAAAATATTGGATACCCATTATTCATCAAACAACCATATTTTAAGGTTTTCATCTTCTCAACCATATTATCACTTCTCTCTTCTTCAACTTCTATTTTAATATTTCTAGCAATCCTAACCACTCAATACTCAGAGGAAAAGTTCCTCAAGTCCTTGCCTGCAAAGTTATTCTTGGGTCTTTTCTTTCTTTTCATCTCTATTGTAAGCATGATAATAGCCTTTCTGTCTACCATTCGTCTCATGCTAAAACACAAAAACTACTCATGGTGTCTCCTTTCCATTATTATATTTGCAAGTCAAGCCTTGGCCATGAGATGAATTTGCAATTGATGTACCGCTTTGTTCTTCTATTATTGGAATAACTGCGATTTGATGTTTCTTATCAATCATGTTCACACGATCTTTAATAAGAAAAGAAGCTGTGGCAGTTGCAAATATTATTATGACATGCAATATTATTGAAGCTCTTAGAATGGTTCAAAGCTTCATTTATCAAATAGTATATGTCAAGAGAATTTCTTCTGATAGGAAGAAAATTGACACATAGAGACTTCATTTCAACTTTATTGGGAGCCCAAGATAACCCTGTAATGCTGTAACAGCATCATTTCAACTTTCGATCTTTATGGCCTAAACCTGTAGTTTCAGTATGAGCCCGACGACTGAACAAAATGGAAATGAGGACAAAGTTTTGCCAAACTGCTTGGGAGGGTAAAGGTGTAAAGCGTAACTACATGCGTGTCAAAAGTGATTATGTCTATTATATAACAACAACATAGAATTCATTAACTAACTTTCCCTTGTTTTATTTTTTATCATCCTCCACTTAACGAAAGAA